TCGACCCCGAGGCCCCTTGCCCGGCAGTCGCACTCGCGACCACTAGGCCAACGAGGCAGCTAAATATTTAATTACAGTTTTATTACTCTGCAATTAAGTTGAAAATCTAATAAAACAATTTGTAGTTTGGGATAGCTGGATGGTGTAATTATAATAATAATATTTTTTTCTCAAAACAATAATTTCACATTAGCCAGTACATGAACCATAAAACAGTGGTTCATGTACTGACAGTCAAAACGTTCAGCAAAGGCGCTCAGGATACTATTGCGGCTGCCCCGCACCCTGTTCACTAATGACGTGCACCGCTTGCGCATGATTGTGATAATGACGCCTGAATTACATTGGGTAACCAACAATTTGTTTTACAAAGTATATGCATATAATTGCATAAGGATCTGACGACAATCTGTAGTCGTAAGAGACAAAACGGAACGTAATCCAGTCACTATCGTGTTTCTCAGTTTTCAGTTCAATTCACTCATTTCCTTATATTATTATTTTATGTAACTACGTATTAAGTAATATTTTGTATTCCAACAACATTTGAATTGAAGTTTAACTGAGCATTTTTTATATTATGTAAATCAGCAATGATAAGCACGTCTTTAAAAAGATTTATGTGAATCAAATTAGGCGTTTGTAAAAAAATGTTTTTAGGCTATACATAAAAAGTTATTTAGATGAATAATAATATTGATAAATATTTTGAGATTATCCGAGCACAACAAACTGGTGAAGTATTAATATTCCGCCGGAAAAACAGCGCGCGGCGTAGCTACGTGCGAATAAATTAAGTAAAGATACACAATACGAAATATTTGGAGTTAGAAATAAATATACCGTGAAATTTTTATCGTTTTCCTCCCGCTTGAAAAAACATCTTGGCAAAAGAGCTTTCGATGCCTAAAGTAAAATAAATGATGTAATTTTTTTTTTCATTTCAAAAAAATATTCATGTTGTAAGTACTTTTACATGAGATATGAGTTTGTGGCACTATTCGCATCGCATGTTCCATCCACCGGAAAATTAGGTACGTTCGAAGTTTCCTTTTTAAACATTTTATTTAAGTATTTGTAAAACTATTGTATTATCGAAACAAAACCATTTTACTTCGAGACGAAAATGATAAAAATACGGAGGTTGAATTACAACAATAGGAATTAACGATTCACAACATGATCATATTCAAACCATTTTTAACCGACTTCAAAAGAAAGAAAAGGAGGTTCTATGTTTGGCCTGTATAGTATAATGTATGTTTGTGCGCAATTATCTCGCGATTGGCTGAGCCAATTTCGATGCGTTTTTCAGAAAAGTGTTTGTTAGTGTTACACTTTGAAGAAGGTTTGAGTTTAGTATGTTAATTAACCGACTACAAAAAAGAGGGAATTGAAGTCGGTTTTTTTAACGCTGAGAAACACAAAAAGAATTATTCAAATCAGACTTCTAGTTACGGAGATTAGTGCGTTCAAATAAACAAACAAAAAACAAACTCTTCCACTTTATATAATAGTATAAGAGTATAAGATAACACCCTTGTTCGGTCACTGGTGATATCCCCAATAGGTACTACCTACATATTATATACTAGTACTTGTATATTATGGAAACACCAATTATATAGCTCGTCTCGGGAATTTGGTTTAACTAAATAAACAGCAATAGATAATTATTATAACAATTTACCTAACTTTATTACAAAAACTTGAAAGGATACGATACCGTCTGAACATTTTCAGTTTGCAGAAATATTGCACGTATATCGACGACATATGCGACTTCAGCTAAGTAGTTTTAAAGTATTACCGCACAGAATTATAAAAATTAATACCTATGTAATTTTGTATGTATTTTAAATATTGCAAACACTAATCGTAAGTATACTATCCCATATGTAAACTATTTAATATTTTACCTAGATTGGACACATTTAATTGGACACATAGGACCGATGTTCATTTCTTTTCCGTGTGAGAAGTAATCTATTTCTGGAAAAAAATCTCTAACAGTTACAAGCAAGAGTGAGCTGCGCGACGTCGCCGCGACCGCGCATACTGTTCATGAGGAAGAACCCCTCTGTGGTTCAAAAATAGTACCTAGAGCTTTTCTCAGTATATTCACGTGAGTCACCCGAAGTTTTTAGTTAATTTAGTTACAAGCTAATGATAAATTCATATCGAAATAATATTTTTTAAAATAGACAATCAATCTTAAAATATAAAGACTAAGTACCTAGCGCATAGACAAACCACCATATCTGCTTCGATTCAGACACATTTCTTTAAATAAAATCGCTTTTGAATCACCGAATTGCGTTGAGTGTAATGTTATTGAAGACGTGTACCATATAATTTATGAATGCACCCGAAATGAAGCGGAGCGCAGAGAAGCATCGTATAGCATCACACTATTCTATGAGGTCGGAGTTTAATAGTATCCTTACGTTTTTACTTTCGGATGCAGTCAGGGGATTATACAATTTCGTTAACATGGAAACCAGACGTAGGGATAGATAGTTAGGAAAAATATTACAGTAAGTAAATTTTATGTTAGTGTTAAGCCACCATGATTAAATTTGATGAAAAATGTGTAAATATCAAACCGTCTATAAATAAATAAAGGTAAAAAGCACAACCTAACGCAACTTTTCACTCTTTAAGGAACCCCCTAAGCACTAAAACCTAAATATGTATTAAAAAAATTCAGTTGCTAGGACACAGGCACTGAACTAAGTTAATTTTGAGTAAATGCACATAGGTAGGTATAGATATGAATTACAACACTTGTTTTCAATAAAATAAATTACTTAGTTGCCACTATAAATAAATAAAATGGGTACCTGGACGGGGACGTGTGACTGAAGTCAAGGGTTCAGCTACAATGGTAACACGCAATGCGCCTGCACCGACCGACCGGCGTGAATGAATTAAATACACTGAATTAATTTAATTAAACGCACTTTCCTTGCCTCCACCTTTTTGTGTAAGACGGTACTATGATGTGGTCATTGAATATGCCCTTATTCATTTCAATAGTTTTTATTTGTTGCTAACTTCATTTTACAAGCGGCTTTGCTCGCGTGTCTGAAGTGAAGATGGCGCGTGAAGGTTCGTGTTTTGTTTACAATCCGGCTAAACTTAATTAAAGAAATTGCACCAGATGAAGCCAAGTTATACATTATTTTTAACTCTTCTTTTTTAATACATACATAACATCACGCCTTTTAACCCCGAAGGGGTAGGCGGAGGTGCACATTATGCCGCTGTACAACGCAACACACCCACTTTTCACTATATTTATGTTATGAGTCCCATGTAATAGGGGGTGAGCCTTTTGCCATATACCGGGCACAATCCAGACTTTGTGCTAACTACTAAGAATTAAAAACCCAGTAATACTTTGCCCGACCTGGGAATCGAATCCGAGACCCCTTGCTCGGCAGTCGCACTTGCGACTACTCGGCCAACGAGGAAGAGAACAACTTAATTTATTGAAAACTTAATGGTTTTTGATGCAACTGATGTAACTGTAAGTTAATACAATCCAGGAATAGAATTCAGAACCTCATGCTTGATAGGTATTCGTGTTTCACTTTCATTCAGGTCAACAAGTTAACAAGATAATTTGAATTTTACTTCATGTAATTGAGTCGTATATTCACTATTCAATATATTCATGAATCTACGTAAATATTGTAACTGAACCATGCCAAAAGAAAATTTATTTGTATTCATTTAATAGCTAACAAACTGTACAGTTAGTTTTTATAATATTTTAAATTTAATATGCAAGTTGTCATATAATGTTATGGTTCAATAATAAAATCGGTTTTTTTTTGGGTTTTAATTAAGTTCGGCTACCGAACACGTCTTTGGCTCGATCCCCTTCTCTGTTAGAGGCAGGTTTGTTGGCATAGTGACTGCCTCATTGGCCGAGTGGCCACAAGTGCTACTACCGGGCAAGGGGTCTCGGGTGCGATTCCCGGGACGGGCAAATATTTAATGGGTTTTTAAAAAAAATCTCAGTAGTAGCTCGGAGTCTGGAATTGAGCCCGGTATATGGCAATAGGCTCACCCCTTATTACATGGGACTCATAACATAAATAGTGAAAAGTGGGTTACAGTGACATAATGTGCACATCTGCGTACACCTTCGGAGAAAAAAGGCGTGAATATATGTATTGTTGGCATACAGAGTGTAAAAGGAACGCTTCCGAGTAACACCCACAGAGGCCTAAGTACGAGTTTCTTTTTCTTTTAAAGTAATCGAAACGAGACGGCGTCCGGCGCTCTGAGGCCTTAGTACGAGTTTGTTTTACGTTTAAAGTAATCGTAACGAGTACGCGTTCAGCACTGTGATTGGTTGCTTCATTGGCTCCGGCCAATCAGAGTGCCGAACATCAACTCGTTTCGGATACTTTAAACGTAAATCAAATTCGTACTAAGGCCTCTGATTGGTTGGTTCATTGGAGCCGGCCAGTCACAACGCCGAACGCGTACCTACTCGTTACGATTAGGTACTCACGCAAAAGAAACTCGTACTAAGGCCTAAGGTAATGGTCGAAAACAGGTTTTATTTTCGTACTAGCTTCTGCCTGATTCAACAGCTTCGCATTCTCAGCGGTAAAAAGACCATACTCTACCTCAGTACCAAATTTCATTCCTTTTTTAAAAAAAGTGTTATATTAATGTATTGCTGTTTGTTGTCCTTGATAAATAAATAAATAAATCCCGGTCCCTTCAGTCGTTTTGGTGTAGCTGAGTAACAAAAATAAACACAAACTCTAATAATAATAGCGGTTCAATTTAATTTCGACCATCGGTCCAACAGTTACAGCGTATAGTCCATAGCGGGCAACCTAACATTCGACAACATGATATTATTTAATTAATGAATACGGGACCATGAACCGTACGGCATTGGAGTGTTTACTTATTGTAAGGCAGGTCAACATTTAAAGTGTAAGTACTCGACTTGTGTAGTCGAAGCATGACTCAACACTTTGGTATTTACTTACAGGGCATTAAAAATACGTAAACACCCGTAACATTACATATAAACTCCTGAATATCTTCTGATTTATTGCGTTGCGGAATTCCAGACGTATACGTGTGTGTCTTGTCACGTGCCAGTAGAGATTCGGTGTGTTCATGGTTGCAGATCTTAGCTTACAAGACTTGCCGCTGTTTCGGGAGATTGTGGTGGGCTTGATCCATTAAAATAATACTCCCAAAAAACTCTTTGAGTTTTTTCTCAATAGACAATCCTGTAACTAATAAGTATTTACACGTTTCGGGAGGTTCCGTGTTTTTTTTATGGTATAAGCTGGTAAACGAGCAGACCATGAGCAGTCGGATCACCTGATGGTAAGCAATCGGCGTCGCCTGGAACACTAGAGGCGTTACAAGTGCGTTACCGGCCTTTTGGAATTAGGAATTTGAGGATTGTTGGGGATTTAGGAATTGGGGAAAGAGGGGGGGGGTGTAATTGGGCATCGGGTAACCTCGCTCACACGACGACACAACGTTGTTTCACGTCGGTCTTCTGTGAGGCTGTGGTATAACTCCGGTCGAGCCGGCCCATTCATACCAAAGCGTGGCTCTCCCACACTTACAACTCCCGTGTTCTATTTAAAAGTCGTTGTTTATGCTGATAGAGAACACTAGTAAATGCGATAAAAGCCCCACACTGCCTAAATTTTGTCCCCAAAAGCAGAACAGGCGTCTAAAGTTTTCCCTAATCATTAAAAATATTAAGATAGTGTTCTACCTAGGTCAATTTTACCTTATTTATGTGCATACTAGCTTTTACCCGCGGTTTCGCTCGCGTCACAAAAGGATAAAAAGTAGTCTATGTGACATATACTGTTCCTGACGTCACATCGGGCTCACCACCATACGTGGCCCGCGACTGCTGCGATCGGCGGTCATTCATTCACTCGCTCGCCCGACACGACGCCGTGCGCACATATCGGTTGACCCTAACAATCAGTACCTATTTAAATACAGTCTTCTCATCATACCGAAGTCTTTTATTATTCAAGACCACCAGCAGCACACCTGGAGCTTGATATTCAATCATTGGTCCTTCGAATCAAGGGAATCGCCGTCTTATTAAGCTGCGCATGCCTTCTGTGGACTTTGGACTGGCCGTCCGGACGCGTGGTCGCCGCAACGTGGAAGACACAGAACGACGACGTAACGAACAGTCTACCCAGAGGGTCATAATTCTGAGTGAGTCCGTTCCATTTATCCCTATTTCCTGTGTTTTGCCTATTTCCATTCCAAGGATTTAAATAGTGCTATACGGATCAGGCATGGATTGATCTCTTCATAGTTATAGCTTATTCAGTACATACATAGCCAAAGTAACAGTAATTAAAAATCATCCATCATCACAAATCACGTTTACAATTTATCTAAAAATCATATTGCATCGAACAATCTTTGCTATAAAGTACCTATAGATATTTCTTTTGTTCGCTTATCGCATGCTTGAACATCTGGTTCTTTAAACTGGAAAAACAACTTTAATATTTTATACAAACTGTTTTTATTGAATGCATATTAGCTAAATCAGCTGTTATTTATCTTCGTCAACTATTGACGTATACTAGTACAGGTACTCGTCACTTGCTTACGTTATTGTTTCTTTGCCTTTTTTTGTAATTTTAACTCTTTGCTTCATCTTAAACACCTTTCTGCTTACTCAGTATGTCCGATGCAAAGGTTAAGGAGCTGATAAAGAAGCGTGGCAGCTTCAAAGCCAAGCTTACACATTTTAGTAACTTTTTAAAATTTCTGCCTGACACGGAGTTAGACAGTTTTCAAACAGCAGAGCTACAAAGCCGTCTTAGCCTAATGCAAATACTTTATAAGGAGTATGACGTGTTACAGACCGAGCTGGAAATATTGTCGGAGAACGCCGACGACATGTATGCCGAAAGGGAGCAGTTCGAGGCGCAGTTCCATGCGCACGTGGCGCGCGCGCAAACCATTCTGGTTCCTGTGCGTGCATCTTCGCCTGCACTCGAGTCTGCCATTTCCACTGACGCTCTTCAGCACCGCGGACCTGACTGCAGGCACGACTTTGTTCGTCTGCCTAAGATAGACTTGCCTCATTTCGACGGGGACTATCAGCACTGGCTCGAATTTAGAGATACGTATATTTCCCTAATCCATGTTAATTCCAGCATACAAAAAATAAACAAATTCCATTATTTACGTGCAGCCCTAAAAGGTAGTGCATCTTTAATTATAAAAAGCATTGATTTTAAAGCTGATAATTATGATTTGGCATGGCAATTGTTGATCGAAAGATACAATAATGAAAAAATACTTATAAATAATCACGTGCAGGCATTATTTAAATTTGAACATATAAAACAAGAATCTTGTAGTCAATTGCGCAACATGATTGATGTAACTAATAAAAACATACGTGCTTTGTTAACATTAGGGCAGTCTTGTGAGCATGGGGGTCTTGGAGAAACCCTTACAATTTATATTATGTCAGAAAAACTTGACAGAGCCACACGCAGGGAATGGGAGGAATATAAAAATAATTTAGATTCATTTCCAACTTTAAAGGAATATATTAAATTTTTAAATAACAGAGCTGACTTTTTGGACTCCTTAAATTACAACAGAAACACCACATTTTCAAATAATACAAACACTAAATATTCTAACGACTACAATAAATCAAAAACATATCATACAATAATAACAAAACCTAAACCTACTTACAATAAGGACGACATTAAATGTCCAGCATGCTCTCAAAATCATTTTTTATTTAGCTGTCAAACATTCAGAAACTTAGATATTGAATCAAGATTTAAAAAGGCGATAGAAAGCAATGTTTGTTTAAATTGCCTTCGACCTGGTCATACAGCGAAGCGTTGCAGTTTATCACATTGCAAATATTGTAAAGTGAAACACAATACCCTTTTACACAAGGA